CCGACCCCCGCGTCCCGGTGGGTTTGGTGACTGGGGGGGCTCCCCCCGCCCCGGGGAAACCGGCCAGCGAGGATTTTGGGGGGGAAAAAACAGAGGAGCAAATCTCCCAGCGCTGTTTTGCGGCCCCGGGGTGTGTGCGGTGATCCCTGGTGACATCTGTCCCCCCGAGCCGCTTCCCCCCGGAACAGCCCCCCCAGGAGCCCTGACCCGGAGGGTCTCGGGTCGCAGCCCCGGCTCTGCCCGGGGGAACAGGAACCTCCTTGTTCCTGACATTTCACTGCTCGGAGCTGCTGCCGAACGTCGGCAGCGCTGGGAAACGGGGCTCCGGGACGGGGGGAACAGCAGCTTTGTGAGGAGGAGACTGGGAACGAGATGAAGTTGTTCTTTTGTTTGACATCGGTGTAAATGAGTAACCCGTGAGGAGCAGGAGGTGCCAAAGCTTCAGCCCGTAAATCTTCCAGAGGACCCAGAACCGGGGGGGCCGAGCACGGCTGCTTCAATCATATTCATGAACCGAGGGGGTGAATTAGAAACTGAAAACACTGGAGAGGCTGATCCTGCCGGGGCAGGGGGCTCGGGCTGCCCCACACGGGCACTCCCAAACCCAGAGCCACAGATCTTCTTCTTCTTTCTATTATTTTTTTTTTTTTTGTCCTTTTAAAAAAAATTACTTCCTGTCTCCAGTCAGTTCCGGGCCTGCTGGGCAGGGGTGGGAGCACAGCTGGGCTGTCTTCCCTCTGCACTGGGAACCTGATGCATCAGGAACTGAGGAATGACTCCTGAGCGTTTTAATCTCTGCTTCCTCAGCGCCTGGTTAGTGTCCCTAGTGCTGGTGTTACAGTTCCAGGGATCAGGAATGGGTGTCCCAGCTCCCTGCCACCAGCTGGGAGCTGTGCAAGGGATGGCTGCAGATCCTGGTGCTCCAGGATCCCAGAATCCTGGAAGGGTGTGGGGCCCACCCAACACTGGGTGTCCTGGAGAAATTCCGTCTCACTCTGCTGCTTCCCAAAGAATTGCAAGGCAGCATCTCTGCCACTGTTGGCCAGGGCTTCAACAGCAGAGCTGCCAGGCTGGGCTTTGCAAGACACTAATGAGGTTTCCTTTCTTTTTTGGGGTGATTCCCTAGTGGATTTTGCTCTGAAGGTGGTCCAGTGGTCGGAATCGGAGACGGTTCGACTGCAGCTCTGGGACATTGCAGGTATGTTCACACTCAGCTGCTCAGGAGCAGAACTTACAGCTCTCAATATTTTGTCCCTGGGGTTTTTATTATTATTTCTCTCTTTCAATAGGAGTCTGCTACAAAAATAAGCCCTCAAAGCCTGTTGGTTCAAGGGACAGCACTTCTCTGGTTTGCAGCTCTGCCTTTGGTTTGCAGTAATAATTTAAATATTTAATCAAAAGTCCATCTGCAAAGGGCAGCACAGCTGAGAAATCCTTTCCAGCCTCTCCTTTCAGTTGCAAAGCCACAGCAGAGAGAATGGGGAAACCAAGTCTTTTGTAGCTGGATCTGTAACTTCTCAGCTCTGAGTCTTCTGTTCAAATCCCAATTTCTGGCACGACAGCCAGGAATGCCTGACCCTTGTGTGGAGCAGCTCCATGTCCCTTTCACTACTGCTGGGATCAGGAGTATGATCTGGCTGCTCCGTGACCTGTGTGACCAGCAGTGGGTCCCTTGGGAGCAGGGATCCCAAGGGGATCCTTGGGAACCGTGTCCTGCTCTAGGGGACAGTGTTCTCTGTGATGAAGTGGAGTGAGCAGCACCTGCTCCTCAGAGGAGCACAGAGAAACATGATTCCCAAATCTCCCTGGCAGCAAAAGGCCCAGGGTGCTGTGGTGTCTCTAAAATGGCACCTGTGGATCTAGAGGGGTGGGGAAAACAGGGCAGTGGTTTCCTCCAGTTTCACTGCTCAGACGCGTGCGTCTGGAATCCTTAAAGAGAAAACAGGAAGGAGAAGTTTGCAGCAAGAGGGTTGCAGCAAGAAACTGGTTTCCATTTCAGCCCCAAAAAGGTTTCCATTTCAGCCCCAACTGTGCTCATGTTGTGCCCCTGGCGGGAGGGGCTGTGCAAGGATGGTCAGATGGCCTGAGTTAACTCAGAGGGCTCAGACCTTGCTGGCTGCAGAGCCAGGAGCCCGACAGCCACGAATGCCTGACCCTTGTGTGGAGCAGCTCCATGTCCCTTTCACTACTGCTGGGATCAGGAGTATGATCTGGCTGCTCCGTGACCTGTGTGACCAGCAGTGGGTCCCTTGGGAGCAGGGATCCCAAGGGGATCCTTGGGAACCGTGTCCTGCTCTAGGGGACAGTGTTCTCTGTGATGAAGTGGAGTGAGCAGCACCTGCTCCTCAGAGGAGCACAGAGAAACATGATTCCCAAATCTCCCTGGCAGCAAAAGGCCCAGGGTGCTGTGGTGTCTCTAAAATGGCACCTGTGGATCTAGAGGGGTGGGGAAAACAGGGCAGTGGTTTCCTCCAGTTTCACTGCTCAGACGCGTGCGTCTGGAATCCTTAAAGAGAAAACAGGAAGGAGAAGTTTGCAGCAAGAGGGTTGCAGCAAGAAACTGGTTTCCATTTCAGCCCCAAAAAGGTTTCCATTTCAGCCCCAACTGTGCTCATGTTGTGCCCCTGGCAGGAGGGGCTGTGCAAGGATGGTCAGATGGCCTGAGGTAACTCAGAGGGCTCAGACCTTGCTGGCTGCAGAGCCAGGAGCCTGTTGACCAGAGGAGGAGCCCACAGTGACACCCCTGGGGTGTCAGGCAGGCTGCTCTTCACCCTGCAAAGCCATGAGGACGTTCTGTGATGTGTCCCCTCTACACCAGGGCCACCAAACCAGGCAGCAGGACAGCAGGTCACTCTTGGGATGCAGTTTTGGTGGTTAGGAAGCCCATGAGGTGCAGTCAGTAACTCCAGCCTGTGTGACTCGGGATGGTTTCTCTGTGTGACTTTTTCCCTCTGGGAGCCTGGTCTGCAGTGCTCTTCCAGAGCAGCACGTGTTACTGCTGGTGGCAGGAGCTGCATCAGGGGACAGGCACCCACTGCTGGCTGGATTCTGCTCCGGGGGAGGCAAAATTGTTATGCTGGGGGTAATGCAGGTATTTCTGGGACATCAATGTCTGGGTCAGGGCTGTTCCAGTCCTGCCTATGTTGCCCTGGGCAGGACACATCTCGGTGCCCCTATTTACTCAGAATTGACATGGAGATTGTTGGTGTCAGTTGAGAAAACGATGTCCCATGAGAAATGTGGTGTTTGCATAAACGAATCTAAAAATGGTAACTTGAGGAGGGGGGGATGTGTGACTTTTTTTTGCCTTTTGACCCTGCAGGGCAGGAGCGCTTCACCTCCATGACGCGGCTCTACTACCGGGACGCCTCGGCCTGTGTCATCATGTTCGATGTCACCAACATCAGCACCTTCAGCAACAGCCAGAAATGGAAGCAGGATTTGGACAGCAAGCTCCTGCTGCCCGATGGGAACCCCGTGCCCTGCCTGCTCCTGGCTAACAAGGTGAGAAGCTCTCCCTGTTTCCCTGTGCTCACGGGTGTGCAAAATGGTCCTTAACTCTTCTTGAATTCTGCTTCTCCAGCAAGGATTCTCCTTCTAAACTGGGACACTGGCAGGACTTAGGACATGGGTGGCACGAAGGAGATGCTGACATCCAAGGATGCAGTGCCTTGTGCTGTGCTCGAGCTCTGTAGCTCCTGAGTTATGAAGCTTTTCTTCTTTCTTTTTTGGCTGTTAACTTGCAGCACCCTGGGCAGGTTGTGCTTGATGCTGTGGGTGCAGCTCAGAGCTGCCAGAGGGATGTCTTGTCTTCCTTTGAATGCAGTGTCAAGTTTCACCATGTAGATTGCTTGCTGTCTTTTAATGATTTATCTTTCTTTCATTGAAAAAACTACCCGTGCATCCTTCCTGTGCCAAGGCTGGCTCAGCAGCCCTTTCCAGGTTCAGTTTGAGACTTGCCTTGGCATGAGAGAGCTGAAAACTGGAGATGACTCACAACGTGCTGGGTGGGCAGGAGGGTGGCTCTTCCTCTCCACCGGTTCAGGAATAATGCTTTCCCCCAATAGACCTTTTAAGGGAACGTTTTTTCCTGCAGTAGAGAACTCTCCATGGCTGTGTGACACAAGCTTTCAGGGGACAGGTTTTATCTCTGTCCCCTTGGTGCTGATGTGGCTGCTCCGGTGGCACCACAGCAGTGACATGTCCTGGGAGCCTGGACAGAATTGGGATGAGGGACAATTCTTTCTTGTCCTGTGCTGGATGAACCTCTGTGCCACGTGTGCCTGGCTGAGGTGCGTCAGTATCTCATAAACTGCAACAGCCCTGGCAGAACCTTGCCCTGGGAGCTCTCTCAGCCTGTGGGCTGGGGGATGTGAGGCTGAGCTGCCCTCCCTCCTTCCCCCAGGCAGGCAGTGAGTGGCTGAGGGGGAGAAGTCCCCTCCCAGCTTAAAAATTAAAAGGCTGGACTTCAAATGGCTGATTTCTTGCTTTGCAGTGTGACCTTTCCCCGTGGGCAGTGAGGAGAGAAGAAGTGGATCGGTTCAGCAAAGAAAATGGCTTTTCTGGTTGGGTGGAAACGTCTGTCAAGGAAAACAAGAATATTAATGAGTCCATGAGGTAGGCAGAGTGGCTGGTGTTACATCTGGGAGTGAATTCCCTCTTTCAGGCACAGCCATCTTAGGGGTGAGGGGAGATGCTGTCAGCAGGTAACAAATAGCAGCAATAACATGCAAGTGAACCTCCTGCAGGGAAACTGAATTCTGAAAGGGCAGAAGTTTTTCTCTCCTTGGTTAAGCTCTGATGTGCTTTTGGAAACAGAAATTCTTTGAACAGTGCCAGGGATGTTTTTCTCATGTGCCAGGAGGATGGGGCTTGTCCTGCAAAGATACTATAAATTCCTTTGTGATGCTTTCACTAGACCTTTGATGGAGAAACTGGCCTTTTCTGAAAGGTTTCAGGCTGGGTGTTGGCATCTGATGTTGATGTTGGGCAGTTGGTACCTGGGAAACCAGTTGCTGTGTCCCAGTCTTAAACTGGACCCAAGGTGGGGTGGCTACAGGTGTTGTTAGTTATCCAGTCCCTGCAGAGTCTTCTACTGCTGCCAGGTACCACCAGAAATGTTGTTGCCAGTGCTATGAGGTTCCTTCACCTGATCAGTCCTTAAAGCTCCAGAGTTTTGTGTCCTTCCAGAATGAACTGCTATTTTTTGTACTGCTGAAAAACTGTGGCTGCTTGTTAAAAAAAACCCTAAACAACAAACAAACCAACCAGCCAACCAAAACCAAACCACCTCACTTATGTTTGTCTTCTAGAGTCCTGATTGAACAGATGATGGCCTCATCCACTGGTGATGGAAGTTCCTCTGCTGCTGGGACTGGGGATTATATTAATATAAAAGAGACAACCCCACCAGGCTGGGCTTGCTGTTAGAGGCACTGACTCTGGGTCTGGCAGCAATGTCCTCTCATCATCATCATCATCATCATCATCATCTTTTTCCTTTGCTGTCACTGTTTTTTGGGTTCTGGGGTTTTTTTGTTGTTTTTTTTTCATGAACTGTATTCTGTTTCATGCATATTCCTACTCAGGAGAGCATTGCTGGAGTGACTTGGAGTGAGGAGATGAAGAGAGGAATGAGAAGATTCCTCTTCCTTCTAGGCTGGCAGGAGCTGGGAGCTCTGCTGCCAGGGAAGTAGCATGGTCTGTGTTCAAGCACATGGCTTGGATTAATTACCTTCTTTAAAATTTTGAGCACTTCATCTTCTGACATGCAGTGGCCTGTCCCAGGCAGGGCAGAGGATGTTGAAGGTATATTTTTAATATTGTAGCACCTTTTATTCCCCAGCCTCTGCCCCCCCCCCCCCCCTCGATGCACAGAAGCATCACACCAGTTGTCCCAGTGACCTTCAGTTGATGGAGGCAAGTTCCAGCCACCTCTGTGCCTGTGGATCCCCAGGGTGGGATCACAGCAGACTCTACTTCATGCTCTGGAGCTACATCCCTCTGCTCGTGTGCTCTGGAGTGGCCAACCCATTTCATCCCATCTCATCATTGCCACTAACTCAGGATGTGAAGCCAGATGTGGATTAGCATGAAACCTGACCTGTAGCATTCCCAGTGGGAACTGAAGAGATGGTGCAGCACAGCCCTCACAGTGTGTACTGCCTGTGGTGTTAACAGCAGAGGCCTCACCTTTGTGCCAAGAACTGCCCAGTTCCCTTCTGTCCATCCCTCTTCACCCACCCTCTGTCAGCACAACCCTGCCCACTCTGTCCTGCTGCCAGGAGAAGGCTCTGCAGGACAAAGGGAATTGAAGGGAGCTACTCCCCACTTGCTTTTTGATGCCTGCTCTCCCCAGCACATTCCAGGTACTCGGGGTGGAGAACAGCTCTTGCCAACAACAACAAATGGGTGTAAGCACAGTAGGTCATTATCTCAGGAGACTTAATAGGAAGCTTGGGCTGTGGGGCTGGAATTATCTGGTGTTTTATGCATTTTATAGAAGCATGAGATGCTACAGAATTGTCTTGCTGGTGTTTTCTGTTAGGGTTTGTACAAGTGGTCTTCAATAATGTTTTTCCTTTCCCAAGTAGTTTCATTTGAAAACAAAGCTGTCAGTTGGTTTGACCCAATTCCTG